AACCTGGGACTTTGGGATGGGTCTCATGGTGTAATTAGAAGGTAAGTAAAGACAAAGAGGATTATGAAAGATGTGTTTGAGAAAGAAGAGAGAACCAGTCTGGCTGGGGTTGAGGCACTTGAAGGAGTCAGAAAGAAAATTAGAAAGACAGGTTTGCCTGATTGTGACAGGCCCTGATTATCAGGCTAAGGAAGTTATAGCTTATGCTGTACATAAATGGCAGCTGGCAAGGGCTCATGAGAGAGTAGCCCACTGAAGCCTCTGACCCCCAGTCCTGCTCCTTCTTTCCTTCATCCTGGCTTGTCTGAAGGCATGGGTCTAGGAACCAAGGATTCCAAGCTTCTGTCAGGGCTACCTCCTCCAGACCCACAGCTGTTCCAGAAAAGGTCATAGGAATTCGCAGACCTAAAGAAGTTCCACATCTGACATCAACTTGCAGTATGTTGCACTTTCTCGGTCCACAAAAATGAGCCTATTATACATTCTCTCCCTACCTGCATAAAATTAGGATAACAACTTGGATCTGCTTCTGCTTGGAGGGAAACTCTCATGGGCTTTCCATCGGTATCCAGAGGCTGTGTGGAACGCCAGAAGAGAAAGAGAGAGGCTCAGCTCTGAAGAGTGAGCACCAATCCAGGCCTGGCCCTCCTCTCTCCCCTCCCCTCAACTCCCTCCCAGCACCAGAGAAAGGAAGCAGCAGCTGTCATCTGTCCTGTGGGCAAGATAGGCGGACATCTCCCTGGCACAGTTGAGGTTTTCACAGCACTTGCCCCCAACTTAAACCACACACACATAACAGCACCCTGGGGAGAGGTAGGGTCAACAGCAGTGACGATGGCAATTGAGTGAGAAGGAGGCAGGGTAGAGGTTGTTGGTGTGAGGGGCTCTCTTCCCTCTCATCTTCTCTCCCACCATTTTGTTGTCTGCCTTGGTTTTCCCCAATTTCCCTTCTGCTTCTCGGAGACTCCCTGACTGGTCCTTGGCCCGATGCCAGACTCCTTTCGGTCTCCTGAACCTTGCCCCTCTTCCTCCATCTTTTCTTGATGCCCAATGAATGCAGTGAAGGTAGAATAGCAAAATTATCCTACTGAGTGCAGAATGAAGCAGATCCTGAGAGCTGGGAGTTTCGGCCAATAGATGAAACCACCCCCTGCCCCTGTCCACATAATTGAGGCAAAGCACGAGTGTCAATTGTATTGTACAGATGGTAGGTTCAGCTCCTCTATTTGGATTTTCATGTACAAACTTAAACTTTTACTCTCTTTTCTTGTTGATCTGGGACTGGTCATGTTTATTTTACTTTTGCACAGCACTGAGGCGGCCTTCTGACCTCCAAGCATAATGGAGTTGAAGAGCAAACTAGGATAATTACAATGACAGGAAGACACAGAGCAAAGGGCAGTTCCAATCGGGGCTTGGAAATATCTCACTCTCAGGTCATGGGAAGAACACTGGGCTAGGGTTCAAATGAGCTCACAGTCTCCCTTCCAGTTTCCACTCCAAGGGCTAGAATGGCCCACGCTGATCTATAGTCTGTATCCACAATCTGCTTTAAATCATGGATTTTACCTCCTCTCATGTGTGTTTCCACAGCAGCAGGGGCATAATTCTCCATCCAGAATTTAAGCCTGCAAAGGTTTAGACCCCTTTACAAAGAAGCGAAGGCTGTTCCCACAGCCAAGGCCTCCCTGAGGGCAAACCAGAACAGCTAGAGGCCTGTGTGAACTTGATTTTGATTCTCTTTTGCCTTCTAGTGGCATTTCCCACCCCTGACACCATTTATTCTTCTGAAGATCCTTCAACTTGACCTACAGCTTTGCTCTCTATCTACTAAAGCAATGTCCCTCTGATTCAAAGTAAATAGCCCGTCTCCCTGACTCAAGTCCTAACTTCTGGACCAGAACATAAACCTTATGATGGAGATGGCTTATGTGACCTCTCTACTGTTATAATCCACACAACAGCCAGGTATCCCTTATCCTTATGAAGATAGGTCCTTAGCTGGGTGCAGTGGCTCATGTCTACAACCCCATTACTTTGGGAGGCAGAGATGAGAGGATTACCTGAGCCCAGGGGTTGGAGACCAGCTTTGGCAATTTGGGGAGACCCCGCCTCTAGAAGAAATAAAAAAATTAGCCAGATGTGGTGGAAGGATCCCTTGGGACCGGCAAATCAAGGCCATGATCATGCCACTGCACTCTAGCCTGGGTAACAGAATGGGATTCTGACTAAAAATAAAAAAAAATTAAAAAGTCGGGCCCTTTATTCATCTGCTTAGAACTTTCCCACTGTGCTTGAAGTAAAAGTGACAAGCCTTCTCCTAGTCTCGAAGGCTTCCCACGACCTGGCACTGGTCCCTCTCTGAAGCCCTTGTTTACCTGGTCCAGTCACACGGATGTCTCACTGTTTGTTCTCCAACACTCCGGCATCCATCTGCTCTGGAGCCATTGGCTGTTCTCTCCACCTGGAACATTCTTTCTCCAGACAAGCACAGGTTCACTGTCTCCAAGTTTTTGCCCCAGAGTCACTGACTTCAGTGACCCTACATAAGAATCACTGCTCATTGTAGGGCAACACACACTCAGGGACGACATGGGCACACACTGGATATGGCCTCAAGCTGGGGGTTGGAGCCTGGGGAGGGGTTCTGGGGGTGATCAGCTCAGAATGTCCCCTTCCCCTCAGGCTCCATGCCTTAGCATGCTAGTCATGCCGAGGCCATGGGTGAAATGTTCTCCATGCCTGCTGACCACATCCTGCAGCTATGATAGTAAATGTTCTCACACATCCCTCCTTGAGGGAGTCAGCCCCCCAGGCTGATTTGGTTCAGATCAGGCATACCTGGAACAATCACATAATCTTTGGTTACCTTTAGTTCATTTTAGTTAATTATAATACTAAATATCTCACCCTAGAGAGAAATCGATCATTTTACATATGTGTGTTGTATGAATAAGTGCATTCTCAGGCTATGCCTTCGCACTTGAAACCCTGCCCTTTTCACGCTTCACCTCGCACTCCGCCATATGTAAAAGATCATATTACCTGTGTGCCTTTTACAGTTGAGAGCAGTTTTAGAAAGTTACTTTGTCTGATTCCTGGTCGTCAGGAGATACTACTCATCTTTTGGAGTAGAAGGAGGAGACAAGGGAAGTGGCTCAGCAATTCCACAGTGATTCATGCCTCTGGGCCCTTCAGTTCCTGGTGCAACCAAGGTCACCTGGCTATGCATGGAGAAGGCACCCCACTCTTTTCAACTTACTCTTTCCCCCCTTTCTTTATTGAAAATAGCAGAACTTAAAGACAGGTCAAATTTTGTCAAATTTCCTGTCAGGTTGGCTGCTCCTGGACCAACTTCCATATTTGAAAAAGCCTACGGCTCAGTCATTGTCTTTGGGTCATTTCTTCTGCTTAATAAATATTTGTTGATTACATTAATAAAGCATACCCAAGATTCTGAACTCACTAACTATTTACAGTTAAATTCTGAAAACAAAAGTACTATTCATCTCAGTTTTCTAGGCCTTCTTCACCACGAAGAATGAGGATTCTCTGCCTCTGCATCTCAGTTCTCTTGAGTGTCACAGAAGCCCCCAGAGCAGCACTAACCCAGCACTAACACAGCTGAAACCATCCAAAGGACCAGAGCACATGAAGTGAAAAAAGCACTAAGGATGCTGACAGCAGCAACACCAACAGCATTTTCAAATACAAAATTTGACCTGTCTTTAAGTTCTGCTATTTTCAATAAAGAAAGGGGGGAAAGAGTAAGTTGAAAAGCGTGGGGTGCCTTCTCCATGCATAGCCAGGTGGCCTTGGTTGCATCAGGAACTGAAGGGCCCAGAGGCATGAATCACTGTGGAATTGCTGAGCCACTTCCCTTGTCTCCTCCGTCTACTCCAAAAGATGAGCAGTATCTCCTGACGACCAGGAATCAGACAAAGTAACTTTCTAAGCTACTCTGTCTGAACCTCAGAGAAGCAATCCTTAACCACGATAATTGGCTCTTCCAAGATCATGGACCAGAGGTGTGTATAAGAAGAGATAAATGACAACTCATCCTGAAATTGATTTAGGTGACACCTGTATCAGGTGCTTTATTAGAGTCATCAAAATCATGTGGCTAGGAGCCAAATATAGTCTTTGAATGCCAGAATTCAAGCTTCCTCATTGCTGAACACATCTAGGCAGCTACACATATCCATAGGTATTCACTTCTTTGGGACATGTAAGGGGAGAGGCATGAGCCTGATTCATTTCCCGATCCAGGAATGCTTACCAGCCCACCCCGAAAGAGAAGCATCACAACCTGAGCCAGCTTTAAAGGAGGCAGGCAGTGAGAGGAGGCCCTCAGAGATCTGACAGCCCAGCAGTGCGTGGACACAGCTTCGGCCCACTGAGCAGGAGCCACAGCACGAGGAGTCACAGCGCTAAGTGCGGAGGCGAAGCCTGCCTCAGGACCAGGTAAGGACAGAAGATAGAGGAGGAGGGAAGGATTCTGACCAAATGGAGTACACTCAACTGAGTGTCAAGACAGGCAAGGGAGGGACTCTATCTAGGGGATAAGGGCACATATATGGGGGAGAGAAGAGAGTGATCTTGCCGGTGGAGGCGCAAAATGGAACATAATGGGAACACAGAGGAGATGAAAATGAGGATGTGGAGGGGGTGAGACACAGACATCGTGACTTGGGAACACAAAAAGGATGGGACTTGAGAAAGAGGAGACGGGACAAAGAAGGAAGCAACAGGGACAGAATGACAGGATATAATGTGAGGAGGATGGTGCCACAGGGTTTGGGATAGGCTCACAGTGGATGTGGGCACACAGAGGGGGAGGAAGAGATGAGACCGAGTGAGGAGAGGAGGAGACTACAAGGTATAGAAAAGGGTGATGAGCTATAATGAACAGGAATAGGACGGCTCACTTCTCAGCTTACCATGGCCTACTTTCTGTCCCAGGTACCCGGCTCTCCATTCTGACAGTTCCCTCTTGAGAAATGGCACCAGTCAGAGCAGGATTCGGCCCCCTGTTGCTCCTGCTGCTGGGGTTGTGGGTGGCCGTGATCTCAGTGAGTGCCAAGCCCGGGCATGTGACCGATGCCGGGTGGTTTAAAACTCAGCACGTGCAGAACAAACGTCGATCATGCAAAGCCGCCATGGACAACATCAACAAGCACACAAAACATTGCAAAGACCGCAACACCTTCCTGCAAACAACCTTCTCCAAGGTGGCCGCCACCTGCAGGACCCCCAGTATAGCCTGCAAGGATGGCCAGAAAAACTGCCACAAGAGCCGCGGGGCTGTGTCCATGACCTTGTGTGAACTTACCTCAGGGAAGTACCCAAATTGCAAGTACCATGAGAATCACCTGAAGAAACGTTACATAGTGGCCTGTAACCCTCCTCAGAAAGGGGACTCTAAGAAATTCAAGCTGGTTCCCGTGCACTTGGACAACATCCTTTAGGGTTCCAGTTTTCCTCACTCTTTGACCAAGCCTCGGTTTCCTTTCCAGCCCTTTTCTCCACCATCCAGAGCACTCTCTTCCTCTCATCTCTTGGGGTTCTTCCTCCTTTGGCCTTTTCTGACCGGGAGACTGACACTTCCCTGACCTGACCTCCAGAGGAGATGATCTTTCATCTTGTTGTTGCTGTTTTCCCAGAAGCTTATCCTCAAGAGAGGGACTGAGCAAGGTCTTCAGGGGTATGGTTTCTCTGGTCTATGCCTTTGTTCTTGTCTCCCCTGCCCCGTGTCATCATAGCTGCATGACAAGGGTAGGTAATAAATGGAAGGGGGGTATATGAGATTTGTGGATAGAGCTGTTTTTGTTCCAGAACTAGAAATCTTCTCCAGCTCTGATGTGGTAGTGAGGTGACCTGTGTGGAGCGAGGTGGCCTGAAGGAAAAAGAAGACAGAAATCCCTCTTCATATATACATAGCGCATCATGTATAAACACACAGGAATCCTCTGATCTCTTAGGACATAGACTTGACAGGGATTACTTGCCTTCTTTATGGATGAAGAAATTGAGACTTCAGAAAATGTAATGAATTAAAGAGCTTGTCTTACTGGTTTGTAGCAGAACTGGACTCGAATCCAGGTCTTCTTCCTCTAAATGCAGTGGATTTTCTAACTTTCCCAGTTGGTCAAGAAAGGAGACACCATTGTATGGTCAAGAAAAGAACTAGGTAACAGTTCACCCTTGAAGAGATGTACTTGGGAGTTCTGAAGAGCCAGTTTACCTGTGTTGGCTGCAATGATGGCTATGATCTAGCTAGCCAAGAGACTGCTTATGAGGTGCTCCAGGATCTTGATCCATTCTCTCTCTTCCTTTCTGACTGTCCCTCTGCCTTCTCTAGCCCACTGCTCTTCAGACCTGGGGCCCGGGTCTGGCTGTGACTAGAACCTCTTGGCCAGAAGGAATAAGGTAAAGGGAGTGTCCCGCTTCATCCCCTTGATCCAGGGTCCCACTTCCCTTGACCCAAAGGGACTTTGGTGGCTCCAGGCTGCCTGTCACAACAGGCTGATGGGAGCTGCCAGATCTTCCTTCCTCCTGATAATGATCTCCCCTGCCTCTGCTGCTTCTCTGGCTCTCTACTATGGCAGTGGGTCCAGGCCTGAGGGAGTGAGATGTTAAAATGCCTTCTCCCTGTGTCCCTGGATTACAGACACCATCAATCCCTCTCTGAGAGGTAGAGCTGGAGAAGGTATGGCTTTGTATTTCGTGAGTCCTGATGACCCTCCAGCCTTGCTTGCCTATCACCATGCTCTTCTCTCTTCAGCTCAGTCCAGACAAACTGCTCCGTATTGCACACCCACCCTACCCCAGACCCAAACACATGATTAGACCTTCCAAACCCTCCAGGTTGTTTGAGATGATGAAGACAGAAGAGAAGAAAATGGTCATCAAAAAAAAAAAAGGAGGGAAGACCGTTGAACATTCAAACAGAATGCGGGCCAATAAGTTGGTGAATTGGACATCACAGACAATTGAAATCACAGGAACATTTACAGGCACATTTTGGCCTAATACCTGAGTGTAAAAATAACTATTCCCTGGAAACATATATCGCCATCATAGAATGGACTTCTGGAATACTTAAATAAATCTGAAGTTTTATCCAAAATCTGAAGTTGTTTTGAACTCCTGTGGTTCCTATATCATTCACCATTCTAAAGAGATGATTTTCCACTGAGTACATAGAAAATCAAGATACACGGAGACAGTTGAATTTTTGTCTTCCCATATTCTTTTTTCACAATTCTTTATATGCTCTTTTGTTACTGTTCTTCTGAGTCAGTTTCGCTCTATCACCCGGCCTGAGTGCAGTAGCATGCTACCGGCCACCGCAGCCCTGGTCTGCGGGGTTCAGGTTTCCTTCTGCCTCAGACTTCCAAGTGGCACCACAGGTGCCTGCCACCATACCTGACTAATGTTTTTATTTATGTAGAGATGAGGTCTTCCCAAGTTGCTCCTGCTGGTCTCCAACCCATGGGCTCAGGCTATCTTCTCTCCTCTGCCTCCCTAAGTGCTGAAATGACAAGCTTGAGCTACCTCACCTCGTCAATTCTTCGTATTCTTTATTGATGATGGTTTCCTTTTTATTTTCTTCTTATGGACATTATGGCTTATGTAACATTCACCTCACAAAATTTGAAGTAGTTAAAACGTGTCTTTAATAATCCTCCCCAAAGCAGAATTTCCAAATAGGACATTTTCTTGAAAGACTTGTCACCTCAATAGGATTAAATAACAAAAAAATGCTAAAGTAATCTGTGTGAAATATCTATCTGCAAAACCTTGCTTGACAAAAGTCACTGCATTTTGTAACAGATCCTCCATCTTAACCCAGTGATGACGCCCCCGGTGTAACCTTCCTGTAATCACAGGTTGTATCCTCCCGTAATCACAAGCCCACGTTCTTGTTCCCATCAGTGCTTGAAAACTCCCTAAATGCTAGTGCCATATCTAATCATAACTGACAATATTCTGCCAGGAAATGTAATCATAACTGGACAGCTTTCATGATTTTTGCCTTTATAAACCCCCTGCTTTCTGTATTCGGGGTGAAGAGTTTTCCTGGCACTAGCCTATTCTCGACCACCAGCTAATAAAGAACTCGAAAATTTGACCCTCTGCATGTTGGCATCTCCTTTCTCGCAATCTGGCTATAATATGTGGTCACAGAGGTCAGAATAATTACAACCTTGGGGAGATACAAACCGTGAAGGGGCAGAGGAGTCCTCCTAAGATCTGGATGTGTTCTCTTGGCCTGGATATATTTACTATGTGAAAACTCATTGAACTTAAGATATGTGTAATTTCCTGGATGTAAGTTGTGCCTCAATTTCAAAAATATTCGCAGAAGTATAGTTCTTAAGGATATTTTATTCTCATAATAAATGATAATGCACCAATTCTAAAAACATTATGATAAAATTAAATTACAGGTGGATTATGATATAATCTAATATCTATGGTTCTGCCGTGTTCTATTGATTAAATTAAGGAGTATTTGTGCTATTTTTAAAATTTTTATAAGTACTTTGTGCTCAGCAAGTACAGTTGACCCTTGAACAACACAGGAGTTAGAGGATCCAATCCCCTGTGTAGTAAATAATCCAGTATAATTTTTGACACAGCAAGAATGTATCCACCAATAGCCTACAGTGGACCGGAAGCCTTATCAATAACATATACAGTCAATTAACTCATACTTTGTGTGTTGTATGCATTATATGCAGCATTTTTATAAGAAAGTAAGCTTGAAAAAAGAAGATGTTATTAAGAAAAGCATAACTAGATGCAATGGCTCACACCCGTAATCCCAGCACTTTGGAAGGCTGAGGTGAGAGGATTGCTTGAGCCCAGGAGTTCAAGATCTGCTTGGGCACATAACGAGGCCTTGTCTCTACAAAAACTCAAAAAATCAGCTGAATGTGGTGGTGCATACCGGTAGTTCTAGCTATTCAGGAGGCTGAGCCTGAAAGATTGCCTGAGCCCAGGAGGTCAAGGCTGTGGTGATTCCCAATTGTGATGCTGCGCGCAAGTCTGAGAGACAGAGTGAGACCCCAGCAAGAAAGGAAGAAAAAAGGAAAGAAAGAAATAAGGAGGAAGAGGGAGGCAGGGCTGGAAGACAGTGGAGTGGGAAGGAAGGAGGGAGGGAGGAGAAAACAAAGAAAATGACAAAGAAGTTAGGGGCAGGTGGCTCACACCTGTACTTCCAGTGCTTTGCGATACTACAGGTCGGGTTTGGTTGAGTTCAGTAGTGTGAGGTTACAGTAAGCAATGATCACTGCACTCCAACCTGGGGAACAGAGTGAGTATTTGTCTCAAAAAAAGGAAAACAATTAAAAAGAAGAGAAAACATGTTCACTGTTCATTAACTGGAAGTGGATCATTTTAAAACCCTTCATCCTCATCGCCTTCACGTTGAGTAGACTGAGCAGGAAGAATAGAAGGGCTTGGTCAGGCGTGGGAGAGGTGGAAGAAAACACACACTTAAGTGGACTTGTGCAATTCAAACCCATGTTGTTCAAGCGTCAACTGCACATGAAGTTCTTCCTAAAGTGACTGAGCTACCACACTCTATCCTATGATTTATGTTCTCTGTCACCTACCTTTTCTATTTTTAAACGATGTGAAAATTATTAATATAATTGCATTATATGTACGATAAGCTTTCATAACCACTAACTACAACGTCAATAAAAATAATCGCTGTGGGCCAGGCATGGTGACTCATGCCTGTAATACCAGAACTTTGGGAAGCTGAGGCAGGAGGATGACTTAGGTCAAGAGTTTGAGACCAGCCTGGGAAACATAGCAAGACCCATTACTACAAAAAAGTGGTTTTAATTAGCCAGGCATGGTAGCCCACACCTGTAGTCCTAGCTACTCAGGAGGCTGAGGTGGGAGGATCACTTGAGCACAAAAGCTTCAAGTTACAGTGAGCTATGATAGCACCACACTGTACTTCAGACTGGACAATAAGCAAGAAACTATCTCAAATAAATAATAATAATCAGCCGGGTTCGGTGGCTCAGCCTGTAATCCCGCGCCTTTGGGAGGCTGAGGTGACTGAATTGCCTGAGCTCGCGGGTTCGAGACCCGCCTGGGCAGCAAGACCTCATCTCTACAATAAATCAAAAAATCAGCCAGGCGTGGTAGCGCATGCCAATAATTCTGGCTACTTGTTAGGCTGAGGTGGAAGGATCGCCGGAACCCAGCAGGTCGAGGCTGTGGTGGCTGAGAGCGGTCACTGCACTCCAGTCTGGGCGACAGAGTAAGACTCCAACTCAAATAAATAAATAAATAATAATAATAATAAATATGCATTTATATTTCTACTGGCTGATAGATTACATTTTTAAAGTTCTTAAGGCATATTTCAATCCAAGTCACATTGAGAATGCACTCCAATATT